TAATAGGGGATAGAATTTAGAGTTGGGGAAGACTGAAAGAGTAAAAGAAAAGAAATGGGGATATTGGAAATTGCTATAGTGAACAGTTTTATTCTATCCTAATTCAATACAGATTCGATGTCTTTGTAGACATGGCATATTTCTTTGGAGATACTACAGACTCCTCTTTGTCCTTAGTTTAATTGATATTATTTAGCATAGTTTTAAAACTAGTTTGGACAGCAGAAAATGCTGCAGAAAGTGAAGACTAGAAATACATGGGTTAGGAAATTAAGAATCAATGGTGTTAAATGGACTGAGATGATTTGGGATTGCTTTTTTTTTTTTTTTTTTTAAATCTAAGTAGTACTGCTATACTGTAAGCTTTTCCCTTTGAATTCATCATTCATTTAAGCAACTAGATTTTGAATATGTTTTGTTTTGAATTTAGGACTCGATAAAATTGAATTTCTTCAGAGGCATGAAAACCAAGAGATCTACCAAAAGGCTTTTGAACTCATAGAACATTACTTTGGTGTTGAAGAAGAGGATTCCAGTATTGCACCTCAGGTGGATGAAAGTCAGCAGCAGTTTGTGTTTCAACAGCAGGAAGCTCCAATGGAGGGGTTTCAGCTGTAAACTATTCAAGTGAAGACAAGCATAAAATGTAAACACTTGTAGGGTTTTGTTTGTTGGTGGTTTGGTGTTTTTTTTTTCCCCCAGAGGTCTTTTCTTTATGGCCAAAGTTAAAGGAAGAGTCAAATATGTTTTGCAGAAATAGATGAAGAAGCAGCTCGTGCACTTTCGTATATTGTGTTAGATACAACTGTTCTTTGTTTTGTATATGTGTTTTTCATTATCTCTCATGTACAGAAAACAACTGTGAGTAATCATGTCTAAAGTAAAGCATTAAATGTGATTTAACAAGAACTGTTAAGCTAAGACTTGGTAGAATTTTAGGTAGTAGTTCTGAATTTTTCATGTAGTCTCAAACTGCATATCAGCAATACAGTTACTGACAGTTGCATTTTTGGCAGTAGGCTTGACTTGCCCAGTCTCTATCAAATCTACCTCTTGTATTGAAGCGAAAACATTGCTTCAGAACTAAGGCATGAAATAAAGATGAGCTTGTAAGAAGCTGAATTGGAATGTGAAAAATATTTATTTAACTTGTTAAACTTTTATGCATTACTTTACAACACAGTGTTGGAATTTATTTATAAAATGTATTTAAAAACATAATAGATATACATATATAATGCTAATTACCTAATATAATATTGAATATAAGAAAAAGCGTTTTCTGAATTCTGTGGGAAGAGGACTATTTCAGAGGTTTTCAGATTGGAATCAGCAGAGAGCTTGCTGGTCATTTGATGTTGGCTCTGTAATTAAAGCTGCTAAATGGCGTTAAAAGTCAGCCGCAAATGCAGTACTTTGCAGTGGAAGCAGTTGCTGTAGTTACCACAAGAACGTTACGATTATGAATGACAGAGATGGTGATTTGCACAAATTGCCAAACAGATGGTTTACAGCTGTCTCCTGTCAAAACGTGGTAACACCACTTTAGTTTGAGAAACATTGCAGTGTTTGCCTTTCTAGTACAGTAGCTTCTTAAAAGTTTAGACAGTAGGTGGGGGGTTTTTTTGACCAAATATGCTACCGCCACTTGAATTGTTCTTTAAGTTAACTAACTCTGTTTTCTTTTTGTAAGACAATAGAAATACTGCAGTGAAGAATGAATAGTGAATCACTCCTTTCCAGTTGAAGGAAAAGTTTGTTGTACTGTAAATAGCATTAAGTATGTGGACACCAAAACTAACTAGAAGTTATTGTCATCTAAATATTTAGGCTCTACAGTATACAGTGTTTGCTGTTAAACACTAAAAGAAATAGAATTCTAATATTTGCGTTAACAATTTTGAATACAGAAAAATGTATGCTCTGCTTTGACTTGCATAAAAGTAGTGTTTCTGGTGTATTAGTAATATATCTCATTTGGAGAAATTAATACTTTGGGTTAACTCTGAAGTATGTTTATTTTTTATTACCTGTAACTAATGTATTAACATCAAACTCCTGGGTTAAGTGAAGTCCTTGACATATGAGAGCATTTCATGCTTCATAGAAAGCGGCAATTTAAACTTCAAATTACTTACCCCATGGCACTGTGCTTGTCACTAAACAATATTTTAATGCACTGAAAAATACAGGTTAAAGGTGGTATCATTTACAGTACCATTTTATATTTAGAATTTTTTTTACATGCAAGTTAAGATTCTAAGATGTTTCACTTTGATGTTACAGCAATATATACTATATTGTAATTGAATGTGGGACTTGAAGTGGATTAATGGTCAGTTTTGACTAAGATGTAACTGGGAGGGGAAAAAACCTCTTTTTGAAGTCTTTGTAGTGGAAGATAGAAGTGTAAGAAGTGTATATAGGAGTGCTGTTACTTTATGAACTCTGAATAATGAGATATTTTAGCAAATGACACTTTAAACCTAGATTTGTACAGCATACAACAGTTTTGAATAGTGTGATATTATTGAGTAAAGCTGCCAAATTTTCATATAATGTTAGATGATTGTATTTGTGCCCTCTTTACTCTCATAGTTTTAGGTTTTCAAATACCGACCTTCCTTCTCCTGTGCCCCCCCATCTGTTCAAAGTACAGGGTAACAATCATGGAATCTACCAGCATTACTAGTAAATGCTGAATTTCAATGTTCTTCTAGTGTATGAAAATTATTCAGGTAACAGGGTATTCCATTGTTTCTAACAACCTTGTTTTGATACCATAACCAGCTGTGCCTGCTTTTTATTTGGAGAACCCTGTAAAAACTGCATTTGTAAGCCTCTCGAATTCAAACCAAATCTGAACTATAAAAATCTTGATTAAAACACTTGAAAATAAAGAGAAGAGGGGACATTTAAAGTATTATATTTGTTTTGAAAGAATGCCTTCAGTTTTGTGGATATATTGTTCTGTATGTGTGAACGGTTAGTGACTGCACTTTATGCATTTAGATTAACTATATTTCATGCCTCTGATACATTTAAATGTAACAGTTTAAAAGGGAACTAAAATTGATGGACTTTGGCTAATGAAAATCATTATTTAAACTCAACATTTGGTTTACCCTAAAATTGTTAAAAATTTTTAATGAAAATTTTTCTTTAGAGGATAAATGTACAGGATGGCCTCTCCTATTTTATCACTGGCTTTACATCACACTTTCTTAAAAGCACATAAATGAACAATATAAAACTAGAGGTGATGACTTAAGGTCAGCTCTGGTATAGTCATTTGCAGGTAGGGGCATGGATATAATGATGTTCTCTAAACATTATGAAACCAGTGTGGACAAAAAAAAATAACTGAGAGAAGAAAATAAAGTTTGGTATTCTATATGGACTCTCAAGTGCCCCATCCATTACTAAATCTGTTTAAAAATACAAGGGTTTGGGTTTTATGGTTTTGGCTTTAATTAAAAAGGGTACCATTTGTTCTGCTTAAATGTGAATACTAACTAGCTAATCTATGCAACTATGCAAAGCATAAGATTTTATTTTTTTTTTAGTTCCCTACTCTTGATACACTGAATCATATCTAATTTTTTCATCGTTGCACTTTTGTCTGAGGACTGGTTCATACAGCTTTTTAATTTTATAGTATTTGCTTTAAACACTGTTGCTAGTAGCAATCAAAAATAGTAATAATATTGGCACAGAAATAAGTTAGCTGTAGAACAAGTTTGCAACTGGAAAATATTTATTGTCGGGTCTGTCTTTTAAAAAGAAAAAAATAGAAAAGATGCACTATTGTCTTTCCTAAATGGTTAGATCTCAGCTGTTTAAAATTTATTAAATTGTACAACTGAGGATTTTTGTAATGGGTCTGCCAATTGGTATGTGAAGTTTAACTGTGACCTCAAGAGTTCACTGAAATCCAGATTGAGAAATTTCAGTTACTTCTGGCACAATATCTTCATATAACGTGTGCAAACTAAAATACCTATACTGACTTCAGGTAGTAATAGTGCATCTTTAAATCCAGGCCAAAGGCCCGTTACTGTAACAGAACACCTATGAGTAGTATGCAATATTATGGAATGTTAAATCTCCAAATACCATACAGAAACCAATAAAACCTATTTTACAGATGTTTATTGTATTTATTTAGTGGTTCACTAAGTGTGGCTTCTTAAACTAGAAAACACAAATGCCATTTTGAATACAGCATCGAGGCAAATGAATTCAAACTCGATGATATGTGCACTGTAAAAACATGCACTGTTACTGGAGAACTTTCGGGGTTTAAATACGTTTTGTACACATCTAACCAAGCATATACTTGTACGATAACTGCAGTCCTGTCTCTGCCAGCAGGACTGGCCACTGCGATGGGAGTTCTCGTGAAGGTTGTAAGGACTTGAGAGTTGGTGGGATTATCGGGCCATTTCCCCTCCCCTCGCTTCTCCAAACCTCAGAGTTTAAGATTTGTGATATTCTGGCTGAGTACAGCTTGTTCTTTAACTAGAATTACAAAAGTGAATTGCGTAAGTCTCCTTGGTTTTGCAGTTTTTGTACTGTCACTTCGCTACTGCTTGGTCTTTGCTGTATTTAACCTTTTGTTGAAAACTTCTAGTTTTCCTGTAGGGAACTTCTATCTGTGTAACAGAGCTCAAGCCTGAAAGAAAGGTTTTAAGATAGTGGAGACTTGGCTGCCCCATACCTGATGTTCTTAGGAAACCACCTCATCTCCTTTGAAATTAGTTACTGGTTTTAATCATGTGCAAAAAAACAGTCTAACTAATTTGAAGTATATGCAACAAGTGCATTGAGTATCTCTCTAATAAAAAAGACCTTCTATTTCTTTCTGTGGTTGTGCAACTACCCTAGTTGGCTCCAGTCTCTGCAATACTACAGTTAACCATTTACTGGTGAAATTCACTAATTGCTCTCAGGAACTGCTAATTTTTCTCCTCCAAGGGCACTGGGCATTTCATACGAAGTTACTTTGTCTTCGACTCCGCTGCTAGCGCAGCCTCTTTGCGCCACTTGGCCTTCTTTGCCAAGTTCCAGCTTGTTAAGGACTCGTGACGTGCAGCAGCCTGCGGGAGTAAAGCATCTACTTCAGAGTAGCATAGTAGGAGTAACGATGCTCCTCGGGGAAACCTACCTGAGCTCTGGAACAGCCAACAACTACTTTGGTGTCAGGGTGATGGGGACAGAGGTTAGCTAAAACTCGGGTAGGTGTAAGCTGCCGCTGCGTGCTCAGGTTTGTCTGCTTTGCACAGAACTACATTTGTAAGCGTGCTACATGCCAGCTAGGGCTGTACTCACCTTTTTAGCTGAGGCAATCACTGCAAAACAGGCAACAATCGAGAGTCCAATCATGATGTAACAAGCTTTAACTCGAGCTTTGTTTCTTGCCCTGTCTAGCATCTCTGGCCTGCAATTAAAGTTAGTGAATCATTACAAAGCTGTGAAGTATCTTTTCTTCAAAGCATCACAAATGTAACATCACCATTGAAAAATAAAAATAGAATTAGCACCTAAAACAATCACCTTCAGCTTGCCATGACTGCTTTCTGTACCACCCAAGAACTTTGCATTTTCTGACCCTAAACCATTTCCAATGAAAAGTAACATTTAATGAATTTAAGGTGATTTTTTTTTTTTTTTAAGTTGGGGGGAAAAAAAAGTTCATGCAATAAATATTTGCACTTTAATAATTGGGGTAAATACACCAGAAATCTCTTTAAATGTAATGAAATCGAAGGGTGTTTATTTATTTTAAACAGATGGAGAAGTGTATGTTGTGTCAACTGGATGTGATGAGCACACATTCCTTTTATTCAAAATGAACTTTACAAATTAATTACTGTCATATCTACCCTGTTTAGATGGCATCCTGTATACTATAGGCTAGGGACTTTACCCTCGGGGGGAGGAGATTAAAGCAGAGTTTGTACTGCTACGAGTTAGGAGGTTTTAGTTCTTTAGAAAAGCAGCAGCTTTATTTCAAGTGGGCGGCTGATGCCAGCCTTAGCAACTATTACAGGAACACACGCCTAAACAAGAACAATCTATGGGATTATTTTTGCTGGTCATCAAAGGCAAAAGCAATGAAACTTCTGCCCCGCGTTTGGCGGTGGTTGCTGCGAGAGAGGCATTGTACGGCCCAGCAGCTCCGTTGGCTCAGCTCTGCTCTGAGGCTGCGTACTTCCAAGAACCAGGAGCACAGGAAATCTCCCCATTGCAAAAATGGTCTCAAAACCTTCAGCTAAGGCATTTTCCTGAGTCAGACATTATACTTGGGAGTACTGGTTTTAGGATGTTCATTATAATGCTGGCTGTACACTATTTTCCTTTCATAAATCACATGGGAACGCTTTATATGTATAAATATATGTATTCATAAGACATAGAATATAAATAATATATAATTATGGGTTTATACATATATATGTAAAAAGGATAGATGCATAAAGAATTGATTTTATGTTGTGAACAAAGCCCTTGTAATTATCTCTTTCCCCCAAAACGCCTTTACCTTTACTTCAAAGAGGATGAGTGGTGGAATGGGGCAGAGCTGGAGCGTTCACAGTGGAAGTTCTGCCCAGGGAAGCGTGTACCAAGCCTGAGGGCTGGAGAGCTTCTCTTGAAAGCTCAGTGCAACAGAAGAGGGCGAGTCTGACGAGCGGCTGTGCCATATCACCCCCATCCCCACCAACGCGCGCACACGCACGTGTTGTACGTGCCACGTTTCTTGCAGATGACTGACGATGCCTGCAGTTCTAAGCAGCTGCTTTTGTTTTGTGCAATGGTATACGTCATCTTTGAAACAAACCGCACATCAGACTAGCATGTAAAATCATTAATCCACTAATCCATTTGTAGCAACAAAAGCAAAACCATAAATGTTATTAGTCTGGCTTGTTAGCCTAATCATATTTCACAATGCACTAATTGAAACTCTTCTGAAGCAGATTTTCACTTTCTCCCTGCTTTCTGCCTCTGCTTTAAGGAAAACAGGCCTGATTATGTTCTTCCCTAATTGCACATTAGGGTCTTTGCTACTCAGTCCTTAATCAAGACTCTGGGTAAACCTCTGCTGAAGTCAGTAACAGCTGTTCAAAAAAAAACCAAACCAAAACCAACAACAAATCACAACAACCCAACAACTGCAGATTTGACCCTTAGTACAAACTATCTTCAGCAGCTAGACTGTGTTCACAGGGAACAATATCTTGCAATTCTTTTTTTTTAATAGTGAAAGCAGTGACACAGTTCAGCTTCAATGCCTCACAATTAACTACTTCTAGTGTATCACTATCTATGATCTTACAGTTCTAAAAAGACTTTGCTCTCCCAGAAAGCACAAAATGGTGACACGCACTTGGCAGGCCAACTGCTACACAGAAACAAGCAATCTGTGTGCGTGCGTGCGGACTGGCGAACGCGAGTGTCTTTATAAACACCTCCCCATGACTTGAATAGCTTTCAGAGCTTCTGAGACCTGTCTGAACCTTTCTCTAGGG